GGTTAGCGCCCCAGCGACCGCCGCCTGGGGGTCGCGCGACCTTGGCAACCGCCGCCTGAGGTCAGGCAAGGCTGGCCGGCGACCAGATCTGGCTGTCAGAGGTTGGCCAGCAACCAGATCTAGCCGGCGGTGGTGGTCGGTTGGCTAGCCTTTTTTTTTTTTTTTAATATCAATACAAGTCTTTTACAAAAAAATTTTACCAAACGGTATTTAAGCCAAAGTTGCTTTCAAATGTAATTTTAAAATATACATTACCAAACACTATTTGTATTTCGAAAAACCTTTTTAGCTCAAAGGCTTTTGCATTTTGTCAAATGCATTCCCCAAAAGCCGAACCAAACAGGCTCGTAATCTGCCGAAAAACTTCAATTTAACACTTAAAGCTCAATGAGCCCTAATAAAATGTCTTAACTCTTAAGAGCAGGTTTTTTTTGGGGGGGTTGTAAAATAGTTTTAATATTCAAGTGTCAGCTAATAGTTGGGTATTTAGTACTAAACTTTTTGAAGAGAATCCATGTAAGTACAGTATTTCATCCGAGAAATGAGAAGTATAATGAAACTTTTCAGTGCACTCGATATATTAAGTGATTTGGCTAATCGTGTCAGGTGTTTGAATATGACAATAATTGTGTACGAGCATCATTTCTCTTTCATCCTTTCTCTATTTTAGTCATAGATATCCTGGTCCTATCTCCAATATTCCTTAGCATTTTCGTAAGACCATATCTGGAATGTCCACGCATCTCCAATAAAATAAGCAAAATTTCAACATTTTTTTCTTTGTACTATCACGCATTATCTAACCAAGTTTGTGCTCTTTGAATTTGTCCAATTAATTCCTTCTGCTTTTAATTAAATCCCTCCGATATCAAATCTGACCAAATTTAGTTAACGAGATCGTTAAACGACGCTAAAGTATGACGGGATATAATAGCAGATGCCCATGTGGACATTGATGGAAAAATTCAGTCAATGTAAATAACGTTTGAATATGACGTGGATAAAAATTTAGCCAATGTGACCAACTTCCACATTGGAAAAGTTTTATCCATGTCACCTTATGTCGTTGTCCTAGAGCTGTTTTAGTCGGATTTTCCGGATTTGGTGTCGTAAGGATTTGATTAGAAAGCCCGTCTAAGTAGAATGATTTGATTAGACAAAGAGTGAGGCTATTTTCACACCCTTTTCAGATTGGTACGCATCATTTTCATATATGATAATTCCAATAAGGTAAACAGATAACTGTAACTGTTTTTTTGCTATTCTCTCCTTGCTTGCCCTTATTCCTTCCTATATCTCGGTACACAAAGTTGGTACACTGAAATTGCATTTCGAGCTCTAGTGTTTTTAGGTCAGATAGTCCTTCAGTGTTTTTTTTTCCTTCTTATTGCTAAATAAAACGGAAAGAAGAAAGTATAGAAGATATGTACATTAGCCCTAGCGCTTTTGATGAATGGGAGACAAAGGAAGTTTGATTCGATCCTCCATCACGTTGACCATGATTAAAGGAAGATGAAGTTTGCTAAAACCCAAGCTCAACTCTAATAAAAAAGTTTATTCGCTATACTTTCTTTGTGTCGAAATTAGCGAAAAGGAATTGGAAGGAAATAAGAGAGAATATCTAGGATTATTGCTTGTTTAATATTTCAAAAGGAGGTGAAAATTGAAGAGATGAGAAACAAAAGATATGCATCGTCACTTTTTAAGGATGTTTGCGACATTTCACCGAAAAGGATGCGTGGAAATATCTTTTCCCTTGACAAATAAAAGTATAAAAACTTGATTAGAAAAAAAAGCATGAAAATATTCGAACGAAAAGCATAGCTTTTTCATAAAACTATTGATCTTTATCAAAATACCTGCTAAAGCCCCAAAATATTGTCATTAGGCATCATTTGGTCTGTCACATTTAGGGGCGATCGATCGAATTGAACCTTTGGATCGAGCTGTCGCTTGTCGGTTAAAAACCATGTAACAATTTCGAGTCACGAGTAGACTAACTCGAACCCAGTTGATTTAGGCCGGCTTTATAACGATAGGCCCTTGCCAAACTCATAAAAGGTGCCTTCGGGATGTCAAGAGCATCCGGGCTTATGAGTTTGTGAAATCTATGATTAAGTCTAATCACGAGGAATCAATTGGAGTCCAAAAAATTGTAATGGATTTCACAGAAAGTTAGCTTTTATTTTGGGTCAATACCACAAAAACCTATGACAAATATATCTCAAACTGGTACACATGTGATGAATTTACCCTAAACTAATTTTTTGACCACCAAAAACACCAAACTGGTACATTTGTAACAAATTTACCTTTCGTTAAATTGGATTAATACCACAAAAAAACTATGACAAATGGAGGGTAAAACTTCAAACCAGTACACCGGTCAACTGCCATGTGCCATCTAACTCAGAAATTTGACAGTAAAATTTAACGGGAACTAATGGAGTGTAAAATTGTCATATACTAGTTTGGGATTTTTGGTGGTTAAAAAATTAGTTTGGGGTACCAATTTGGGATTTTTCGTTAGGGGTGAATGGTTTCAGGTGGAACTTGCACGAATCACCACTTGCTGCTTCGATTCACTAACCACAACTTATTTTAGAGATACGAAGAATATAAAACATTAACATATCGTAAAATGAAAGTTCAAACTAGTGATTCCAGATTATACACTCATCATTAAATGCTATGGAACAACACATGATTATGTGAAAACTTAGATAAAGAAAAAATACAAATAACTTGTTTAAGATTTTAGCTTCCAAACTTAGAACTTGAAACTTACCTATCAATACAGGTTCTCTAGTTTTTAGAATCTTAATTTATCATGTATATCTTAAAACCTATAGGTATTTACTACGTATGCCTTGGAACCTGGAACCTACAAGTTCCACTGGTCAAGTTCTCGGATTCCCGTAAGTTCTCAGGTTCCAGGTAATGCTCACTCTTATTTTACATGGTACTAATCCTTATATTTTCACAAGCTAATGCCAACCCCGAGCTCGCCATATACACGATTAACGAAATCATCCTCGAATCTTGACTAATGCACACGATCTTTTCTTAATCGAAATAGCACCTGTACTTTTTAGAAATCTAATCGGAAATACGATATCCCATATCTTTGGCAAGAGAAAAGAAACGAATATCCCCGAATCGATTGACCCAGAAAAGGAACGCAATTGCAGGTGCAGATTGAAGAGACGAGTGCAGAGAGAGCACGATCTTCGAAATACAAAATGGGATCAAACATGCAATGATGATGTAAGGGATTTTTTGTTTTTCAGAATGATGATGATGATGATGTGAAGGGGAAAATTTCAATTCTCCAAGTTGGATTTCATGTTCAATCACAGTCAGTCAAAATAGAGTGTAGATTCGGCAACATATCCCATCTCCCAGAAACTTCATTGAGAGGCCTAATCATTACAGCATGGAAACTGGAAAATGAAATCTTTTTTTTTATTGCTTTTTCTTTTCTTTCTCTTTTGGCTAAATGGGTGAAAAAAATGATTGTGAAAAATCTTCTCGTATTGGAATTTGGGAGATTATTAATAGAGAAAATGGCACAAATAATAACTGATTTTTAATTTTTTTAATATAAGTAATAAATTATGAATGTATGTCCAATATTCGACGTCGTTCTTCCGTCAATGCAAGTTGCCGGAATCTACCTTTATGGCTTCCATCAGGTTAAAAGTTTCAATATGTGAATTATCCAAATAAGATGTTCATATCAAATCAAGATGTAAAAATCCACATAACCAATAATGAACGACATGTTAACATCCTAACTTTTTTTCCTTTTCGTTGATAGATATGTTGACCCATCATTTTTAAGAGTCCAACTAACTCAGCATTTAATAATCCGTGTCATTAAATAACGTTTGATTTGTCGTTTGAGCAAATAGAATAATTATATTGAACAATTAGCAATAGTTTAAGGACCATATTGAGTATATTAAAAGTTTAGAGGTGATATTACACATTAGGCCAAAATTTAATGACTATTTATGTTATTTTTCCTTATTAAAAGAACATAAAAACTCAATGCAATATGCACAACGCTATTACAATCTCATAGGGAAACAATATAAGAATTGGGCATTGCATCTTCAACCAAATACGCTAGAACTCTAGTAATTACAAACGGAACTGTAATTTGTGTTTGTTTAGTTTAAATTTCACATTTTATAGAGAAACACAAACTCACACCATTTAAACTGCTTATTCATATTAATCGAAGTTTTTTCATGTAATGAGATAAATTATACTTTGAATTATAAGTACTTTGTTCGTAAATAAGATATAATAGTAGCTTATCTACTTCTTATTTGACTTCCGTTGAAGGATATCCTTAATGTTACAATTACAAGTTGTTCTAACCATCTGATGAGAATGGTATCCGATGAGAACGGTATCGGCTCGATTGGCATAACAAATCAATTATAACCCTTGTAAATTTAAATGATCTAGTTTATTTTGGCTTCATGTAACATTAATTGAAAAACTTCCAAAGGTGGCTAGTTCCCCAAAAAGTATAAATTAGTTAATAAACAAATAGAAGACTTCTGACAAAAAAAAAAATAGAAAACTTGAAAAAATGAAATTAGGAAAAAGCCAGATGCAAGGTAATGACTGATAACACTTTCGAAGTTGGATGCGTTACTATTCAGGAATAAACTCTTCAAGAATTACCTTTTCGAGTTTTCAGAAAAGCCATAAAAACACTTTTTGACTTTGCCAAAGTGATTCCAATGGATAAAGAAAGACATTTTAAAGTTATTCCCTGTTAGTTCCTTATCACACACACACACACACGTCTCGAGACTCGAGATTACCTTAAAGAATGGCAAAAGAATGCTTGCTATTTTATCAGGATAAACGCTTGGATGAATCAAATTCCACCAGCATGGGCTTCACACTTCAAGTGAGGCCACATACCATAATTTAATACCATGGCCTTAAGATAAATCAGATGCAACTAACAAGACAAATTGAAATCAATATAAGAACATAGATCTCAGACTGAAACTTCACAGAGGCTGTGGGGTGAGCAATGTATGAAAGCCCAAAAGACAGATGAAACAGATAGTATATCGTGGAGATGTCCCTAAGCTGAAATTTCAAAAAATGTAAGTGCCACGCGCAGTAGTTTGTACCGCAGCTAAAGGGCTCGCTCAATGATTGCTGATGCTGATCATGAGCAATAATCTAGCTCGAGCTTATCATCGAAAGCAGCAATAATATCGACAGTAAAAATCTTCAGACAGACAGATTTATACAAATGTTCATTCACACAGATTGACTAAAGAGAGTTAAAATGTTGGGAGGGGAGGCACCCTCCAAACACTGCCAACCCAAGCAATGCCCTAAGCTGCAGTTCTCCACTGCAACTCAATTTGGATTTGTCCATTCTTGGAGTCGATGAGATTGTACTTCCCATTGATCCTCTTGTTGCTGACAACATCAGATAAGTAGATATCCGCATAGCCTAGCGTTTCCTGATTAATTAAGCAAAATTAAACAAAGCGTGAGAAATTGGTTCTGATAAGTTCTGCATGATACATTGCGCAGAATCCATGGTCTACTTGGAAGAAACAGGACAAAAATCCTCAATGTTAACATGTAAATGACCTAAATTAAACCTCAGAACTGAAAAGAGACAGCAATCCACAGATTGGAGAGAGGAAAACCATCCAAGTTTACTTGGTGAACACTGATGGCGATCCGAAATTCCAAGAACCTACAATTTCCCAGTCAAGCCAACGTTGGAAAGTAGGATTATACCTTCGGATGCAACAAGCCCATCCTCGAGGAGGTACTAATGACTTCCACATGGAGTCTGTCATTGGTAGGTGGATCATCAAGCATAAACGAGAACTCTTCTTCCCATCTTGGATCTCTGTTCTTCTTTACATACTACAGAAAATGCAAACAGCAATAATTAAGTGCTAGAACCGAATTGATCCTGAAACGTTTCTGGAATCTTAAGTTCCGAAGATCAATAAGAGTAAACATTTACTGGAGCTAGCCAGCAAAACAGGGAAAGCATGCAGGTAAAGGCCTGATCAAGTGGTAGAATATTCCTATACTGACAGCTCTTGCATTTTGAGTAAATAAACAACCAAGAAACTCTGTCAGCATGAGATTAAGGACATCAAAGTGAAACCGACATTACAACCACTCTATCCACTTTCAAACAGAAAAGTGCTGTGCCGTTTCAATGTTGTAATAAAATCTAATTGACTAACTTGACACAAACATGATGTAGCGCGAGTCATTACTGCACTCCATTCTGAGATGGAACAGTCTCATGCCTCATTACTGTTTCATACCTTAGTCTTTCTTTCCTCCCCTCTGAAAAACAGGCGGACATGAGGATTTGTGTGATGCTTTCCTTCGAGATCTTGAGCCTCATGTACGATAACTACAAGCAAACCACCGCCAGCAGGTGTTCCTTCAGGAGCCTTGTCTACTGCATTTGAATCTTCAAGATCATCGGGCATCTCATCCTCCTTGAAAGGCTTGTATACCACTTCAACAACAAGGTCCCCACGTGACTTCTCGTTCTGGACATCATTGGGGTCCATGTTCTTCAACAGATTAAGAGTCATAATCTTCGGTTCCTCAGGTGTAAGCTCCTTCAGTGGAATAACATTCATTCCCATCTTCTCGTGTTTACCAACCTATGCAAACGACAGAGGCAGCTTAGATCCCATTCAGTGTATGCAGAACAAGTATTTCAACCCATGGCCTTTCTAGAATATGACCATCAGATATCGAACTGCTTGGTATTTATGACATCAGCCAGGGAAGTACTCCACTCAACCAAAAGGAAAACAAAGCAAAGTCCAGCGGGGAAACAAAAAAATAAACAGGCTAAATTGTGAAGAAAAATTTGAACCGACTAAATTAGATGCCTAAAGAACCAGTGAGGAGAAATTACCTGTTCCCAGTCATAGACAATAAGCTCTAAGGCTTGAGATTCTGGGTCCTTGACCAACAAACTGAACTCCTCATTCCATTCAGGATTTAGATTGCTATGTTTGACTGTTGTCTTCTTTGTGGATAACTTGTCTTCAGTAAGCTTTAGCTTCACATAAGGGTCTGACTTGCCCAGAAGGTCCTTCTTTTTAAGCTTTATTCCCCTCACGACCTTTACATTGAGAATCCCAGCCGGTTTCTTTGCAGCTCTGCAGGAGTAAGCAAAAATCCATGTAGTTGGACCAGTCATAGAATTACCACCTTTATATTCATTAACTTGGCAGCACAAATTGAAGGAAGTAACAGTTTGTAAAGAGGAAAACTTACTTAGAAGGATCCAAAATAGGTACTTCTAAGTACTTAGGCCAGAGGTACATATTTGCAACTTGATCCTTGATAAGTTCCTGAACACAAGCATAAATATAATACTAAGAAGTCTTATTACAATGTAATAGTCGGTAGTATTTTCCCAAACTATTTTACATCAGCAGTTTACATGGTTATTGCCAACAATTGGTGAAGTTGGAGAATGGAGAAATCTGTTCAAATTATCCTTATAAAAAAGGTAAGAGCATTACCTGGACAAATCTATAGAGGCCAGGAATGGACATAGCATCTGCTCCGAGAAGCTTCAGGCCAAAATCTACATGTGGCTGCACAAAGAAACATTGAATAACTAGACAGAAAACAGGATTGGGGTCATCTTATTATGTTAGAACCAAATAGTTCTTGTAAAAGCAGCTCCTCTAAACAAAAAGAAGTCTACCCTGGAAATTATTAAACACACCTTCTCCATTAAAGAGACAAATATCTTGGCAAAACAAGGAAAGGTTGGAACCAGAGGCTTCAGAGTGATGCGCGGAGAAGCGAACACTTGCAAATCAACCACCTAAAATGCACCGAAATTGAATGAGAGAGAGAGAGAGAGAGAGAGAGAGAGAGAGAGAGAGAGAGATAGAGAATAAGGGTGAGCGATAGGGACAGAATAAACTAGCTATTCATCGATACCTGAACAGTAGCCCTCAACCCGAATGCCTTAGCAGCAACAATGATGTTAGGATTCCCTGCCCACTTCATCGACAGCTCCATTATTAACTCCTTCTCATCAGTAAGATAGACTTTCATTCCTGGTGAACAGAGTAAGATAGCATTAAAGATATGCCATTTGAGAAGATGAATGACAACTAAACAGGAAAATGTTATCATTCAGCCCATAGTTCACCGTGTAGTGCTAGGTAAATAAAGAAGCTGTCAACAAGAAACTGGACTGAGTGAAGCAGCTTCTCCCAAACATTCTGTCATTGGGCCACCATGAGCTTTTGTTCTAATTACTTACCCGATTGTCCAAGCAATGCCCAGTCCAAGTCCACGAATTAAAGATAATTACTAACATGCATAGAATTGTATCTCTTAGGAGAACAATTAAGATAATTAAAAACTCTATCATCATCTAGAATTCAATGTACCAGGATTGAGTTAACAATTCACAAACTACCTATCCACCAGAAATCTAGTGTCAATATTGCTTTGTCTTCCAATCAAGTCCAGAGCACACGGGTCTCAACAGAACAATGCCATTCACTAGTCAAACATAATATGTTTCCACATTTACATAAGAGCAACCAAGCAAATATGAACAGTACAAAGATTCCAAATTCAGTTTATTTCTTTTGCCAATGAAAGCCAAGAAACAACCACTGACAAACCAATCAGTCTTTCAGATTATGCTGCTGCCTATGAACAACATTTGATGCATGAAAAACATGAAGCAAGAAGTGCAAAAATTCAAACTGGCTAATACACCAGAGAGAGAGAGAGAGAGAGCTTCAACCGTTGAAAGTAGGCGGCAAAGAACCCAATGTAAGCTCCTCAAACTCGACAGAATCAATCTTGTATTTCGGTATTTGCTCGGCAATAATAGGCTTTGCTATGGTCTTCACAGTCTTGCATATGGCCTATGAACAACACACATGTTTACTCAGAAATAGAATAACAATCTAAAGCAGTATAACTGCAGCACAAACTACCAGTCAAAACTGAAAAAGCAACTTTGTCGAGTGATAATACCTTATCTAGATAAGGCCACAAGGTGAGGATAAATTTGTTGAGCCAGTCAACCTGTTAAGTAACAAAACACAAGAAAGCAGTCATCTAAGAGCTCCTGAAAGGCTGAATAACAGCATTTGAAACCGTAATCATGGCCGTAATAGCAGCAGGGAGCAACATAATCAGAATTTTTCATAAGCAACAGCAATAAGCTTGAAGCCTGAGGATGCATTGAAAAGAACATACACGGTCATAGTCCGGATTTTTCACCCACAAAGGTATCTCCGGGAGCAGACGCTGCAAGGATTTCGTATCTTGCTCGACTAGAGGACGCACCACGGGGTCCTGAAGAGATCCAATAAGCAGAGAGAACAAGACTATGCTTAGTGTCACACAGATGAGACGCTCCCCATTTTTTTTTTTAAACCAGTGATGACACTTTTTCCTTGTATTCAATTAAATTTCACAATTTCCATGATTTGGCCAAAAGCAAATATATGCCAGAGGAAGGTTAACTAGCTATGATACTAGCATACACATGACCTGAGCTAAAACTAAGACTGACTGCAGCCCAAGATTATCCAATTAAACATCTGTAAACAGAATAATCCTATCCCATCAGCACTCTCTCGACGACCATAAAAAGGTCAAATCTTTTTAACAATTTTTTTAAGTGTCAAACAACAAAAAAACCAACACACGAGTAAACAAACAGAATCAGCCAGCACAAGCAGCAATTCCAGAGAAGCAAGCGGCCAAAATTGGAAAACGCAATGGCAGGGGAACAAAGGGACACGAAAAACGGAAAAGACAGACCTTGACATCGGTCGGTTGGAAGTAGATGAACATGTAGTAGCCAACCACGAGCCCGATCGAAGTTCCCACCCCAAACCCACAAAACCCAAGAACCGTACTCACGATCCCCATCCTCACAACACCCACCTGGAAACCTCAAACACCCACAAGACACCCCCGCTCCCTCCGCGCCTTCAACAACCACCCACCCAGAGAAAGATCAGAGAAAAGAAAAGAAGAAAATAAGAAAACAAGAAAAAACCGACGCAACCTTCCCCAAATTCTCTCACGAATTCCACCCGGCAGGCGATCCGGCGGAGGTAAACTCACGGGCCCCGGTGGACGGGCGAAGACGGTGCGCAATTACGCCGAACAACACCAACCCATTTCATCTCCTAACCCGGCAGGCGCGCGCAGTAAAGGAGGGCATTTAATCCCGCGGCCGAAGGCAGAGAGAAGGAGGGTCGGCAGCCGAGCGTGGGGGCGCGCGTGTGCGTGTGGCGTGCGTGTGAAGTGCGAGTGTCGGTAACGTCCCTTCGCCTTTGTGGGTCTGGCTAAGGACGAGGGCTGCTTCCGATTCGTCAACGCATTCACGCGAATTTTTAACGGCCACACAGAGAGGAAGAGAGAGAGAGAGAGAGAGAGAGAGGTGGGTTCTTCTTCTTCCTCGTCTTCTGTTACTCTCTGCAACTGTTGCGGGAAGAAGGAGCGAACGATAATGTCGGAGAAGGAGGAGGGGGAGGTGGATCGTGTAAAAAGTCAAATTCCGATTTTTTTCCCCCTTTTTTTAAATTTCTTTTTTCCTTTCTTCTCCTCCCTTTTATTATTATTATTATTATTATTATTATTATGATTATTGATAAAAAAGAGTTTTCCAATTTTTTGTTTTTGCTTAATCGGATAATGGGGGATTTTTTCCATCTCGATCTGGACTTTCCATTTTGGCTTTTGTACTCACGTCGCGGTCGCGGCTGTCTCTCTCTCCATGTCTCTTTGTCGGTTTACGACATCGGCCAATGCCCCCCCTTGCCGACATCGTTATTGTTGAGGAAATTGTTTGAGTTCCATAGCGCGCTCGTTTAAAAAAGTCGTTCGCAATTTTTGGGAAAATATTAACATCCTTATTCGAAGTAGCTCTTTCTCCTTTTGTTTTTTTTTTAATGCGACGATACGAGTATTTACTTCTGAATACTCTCGATTGGTGTCGCTAGGATGCCCGTCAATAAAATTCAGAAGCAATAATTGTCGCCAGGACAATTATGACCGATGATGTTATGATTTTTTAGCATGCGTTTACTCTCGTGATTTGGATAATCAAAAGTAAAAACATGAATATGTTATTACGAAATATGTCGATAGCTTTTAATGTATCCATCATATATCTACCGTAATAATTAGAAAAGCGGCATGATTGACGGGTGACATGCGATATAATTTCATAAGATGCTTCTCCATGACAAAAGTTTTGTATCACGAGTTTTAATAAAGTTTTCTCGCAACCGTTTTAGGGTTTTTACAATGATATGTAGATCACCCCGTGGATTATTTTTTATATCATTATTCTTTTTGAAATAATATGAATTGCTACCGAGAGGCGCGGACGCAGAATTGCCGAATTTTCGTTCGGTTTCTATTTCTCGAGAAAAGTTTTCTTTGGCAATTTAAAAAAATCGGGCGATTCCACTTTCCTTTACACGACGAATCGGTGCACCCAAGGATCTAATTTTTCCCAAAAAGGTTCGATTTTATTCCATTCCTAGTGAATAAAAAAAATAAAAAAATAAAAGCAAAAAACAATTTCGGAAAATTAAGAGATCGGCATTTTCCCCATTTATTTTATCATTTTCGCTCTCTCGAGCAAACGCTCATCGCGCTCTGATCATCAGCAAAGATCAGGGCCGTCCGTAGCCCGCGCATCCATCGGTGGAAAATCGATCTCGTGGGCCCCACGCGGTACGATATGATTGCTTATTTTTTATACGTGATGGTGCCAAATCGTGCGGTCCTGAATCGTTTTGGAAAAGTCTATGATGGCCACCCTTTGGCAAAGTTAAAAAAGGAACGGGGAGTATCTTCTGGTCAAACTTAACCGTCTTCGTCCCAAAAGGAGATCAGAAATTATCTTTCTCAGTGCTATTAAACAGCACAATCCCCACCAAACTGCCCTTGGAATCTTCCTAATGTTATTTTTATTTTTATTTTTATATTTGGTCTGTAGAATCTTTCTAATTTAGGAAATAATTGAACGCTATTAGTAAAAAAAAAAAAGGCTGCTGCTTAATCCGATTGATTGGGTTTTGCAACGGGCCTGTGTTTTGTTCGATCTCTTTTCGAGATCAATGTAAATTATGGTCGCTGAGCAAACGGGCCTTATGGTGGTTTTGGAGGGATGGGCCCGATCGACTGATGGAGGAATAGTCTTTGAGTTCTTCGTGATTTCGATTTCAAATGAAGGTGGTTATCATGGCAATTTAGTATAAATGGTTGTCCAACCGCTCATTGCCTTTCACAGATCATCGGTCTCTAATCTTGTCCATGGATAGCATTTTTCTTTCGACGGCCAAGATTGAATATCGATGGTCCGATATTTATCGAATACAAGAATACAATGGATAACTAATCGATGAATAAAGAAATTGTTTGGGGTGCTCGTCGGTTGTTCAATGATAAAGGGACCGCACTATTACAAAATGACCCGTGTCGTGAGGGAATTGTCGGTTAGCTTGTGCCTCGGGCATTTGCTACCTCACGTGGAGAATTCTTCACTTCCGGCATGCGGATGGGACCGTAGCGATCGGCTCGTAGACCCACAAGCGGATTGAGTAGTCACGATTCTTAATCGGGCATTTTCGTAGCAATGTGTTAGGCCTTTATAACGAAGCGATGGGAACTGACCCTACAAGTCGCCCATTCTTGACCACTCAGAAATAAATCTAATTTGGTGGATAGGAACGAAGTTTTATGGGTGGGCAATAGGGCTTTAGAGCCGTCCCTTTCAAATGCCAAGTGATGGTGCTTGCAGAGACAACGGAGGCCCCCCCCCCCCCCCCCCTCCAATTTCTTTCGATGATTGCGAGAACTCAAAAGATAATGCCAGCGATCAAAATGCCGACCATCTACCACGTGTTTTCGCTCTAATCATCTGCAATGAGACGCCATGAATCTTTAATGACATCGATATTTCATGTCGACCATCAGGAGAATATGATCGATCCAAATTCAAATTGCGATCGCGCGTATATTCGGCACCTTAATAACGTACCCGCGATACCGTATAGTTTCCGATGGAACATCGCGATCAAGAAGAACAAAATACGCCCCTTGAAGAACATCGATTGCTCTTTCTTTGGTTGGTTGGGTCGGACTCAACACGTTTCAGGTCATCGGACCGGATCGACAGTGTACTAGGAAGTTGGGCTCGTTCGTGGTCACTGTCCATAATACGCCATAGTGACCTAAAAGGCCTTGAAAGAGGCGAGGTGATATCCGTCACGACAAGGGCTGAAGAATGTGTCCTCTGTGCTAGGCCCATCGAACACAAAACCCTATTGAGTTTGTTTGAAAACTACTGATCGTTGTTGACATTTTGGTCAAATCACTCACGAAGTGAGTGGTATGTAATGTTTTTTTTCTGAAACAATTAGTGCAAGAACTTTTACTCCAGTCGTTTTAGAATTTAGAAAGGAGGACGGTGAATTTGTTGTTATCAGAGAGAAAATAACGAATTCACTCGAAAAAAAATATATTGAAACGCTTCAAGTTGGCTAAACTTCGATAAGTTGGACATTTTTTGTTTTACGTCAACTTATACGAGTTTATTCACGGGAAAATGACAGAAATGATCCCTGAACTTTCGCCCAATGTATAATGTAATTCATGAACTTTAAATTTATTCAATTAGTCATTGAACTATGGCAAAATGTGCAATGTGGTCCATGAATTTTAATTTGTTTAATGTAGTTCCTAGATTTTTGGTACATGTGTTCAATTTAGCCCTTAAATTATATGAAAAATGTTTCTAGTTGAGGGACTAGAAAAATTCATGGATCACATTGAACAAATTAAAAGTTTATGGACTATATTGCACAAATTAAAAGTCTAGGGACACATGACATATTAGGACAAAGTTCATGAATCATTTGTATCATTATTCTTTTATTCTACAACCATTACAATATGTGTATTATAGAGACTTGCCCGATGCAAGCGAGAAAGTTATTGGTGTAAATTATCGATGGAGATTAATCGAGCGGAGTTTGGATATCTCGCGCTAGTAATACAATACATCATCAATGCAAGAGATAACCATACGCAGGATGCGATATCATTCCTCCCCGAATTTCGCATCGGCAATGTGTGCAAATCATTGTTAGCCCCACACTTGGCGAAGCTAGAGAGAAACTCCATTCCCCGCACGCAGGACTTAGATCTCTCCGATCGCTGAAAGCGGGAGGATCACATCGGGATCGGAACCAAAGATAACAATAATAACAAGGAGGAAGTAAAAGAAACAAAACCCTAAAAAGCCACCATTAGTGTCCGACCATCGACCATCTTTTGAGGAACCGACCATGCACTTCTTTATTGCATCGGCCATGTTCATCGTGCCCCCACTTTAATCTTTATGTCGTTGCGATGCAACTGAAGCAAAATGGCCCTTTCTTCAAGAGCTGTCTGCGTATTCCTCTTTTGCCTCGCCTTTTCTCTCTCTCTCTCTTTCATGTGACGATGATGATGATGGTGATGATGGGACCCTAAAAGATATTTATCAAAACCAAACCGAACCCCTCGTGATGAAATCGACCCATTGCAAAAACAGTGAGGCTGACTCTGCAGCTCGAGCCGAGGTCAGTGCTCTTCTAGAAACGCTAGTCTTCTTCTCTGAATGGGCAAAGGATTGCCTTCTACTAGAGTCAGATAATTTAGACTTGGTTAAAGCTGTCATATGTGTAGATTATTTCAAGTGGGATATACATGTGCTTATTTTGAAAGCCAAAGATCTGTTCAAAAATTTTACTGATATTAAGTTGGCCTTTTGTAATAGAGAGTCCAACAATTTGGCAGACTGGATAGCGAAGGCTCAAAGAAAAAAATGTTCTGCCACAGAATTGGAAACTCTACCCCCCTCCCGATCTTTGGAGTCTACTTTGTGTCGATTCTTTGCCGTTGTACTCGCAAGCTATGTCGTGAGAATTGTATGAATATGGTTCTTCTGATAAAAATAAAAAAAAACAAGAACCAAACCCTCGATCTCCTTTCCAGTCCACAGCATCGAAAATCTGCATTTTAAATCCATCTGTCATGCACCCTAAAGCTTGTAATACGGGCGCTTGCGTGTCGGATGCCCTGCAATTAATTACATGGTTGATAATGGAAACTAGTTTAATGCCAGAAGCAATATAGAAAGAGGGGGACCTTTCAACGAATGGTCGGCGCTCGAACGTGCGAGTGGTTACTTGTCGTAAGTCACGTCACCACCAATAAATTTTAAAAGTTTCAAACTAGATATCGCACAGCTACTGCGCAATCTGTTGGCGTCCGTATACGGGAAGTCGACGGTATGGAGTGAGCCTTTGATTGTCATGTGAAGACAAACGCAAGAAAGGACTTTGAATCCATAGGCTAACAACACATAATAAGAAAACGATTTGGCATGTTCGTATATGGTAAAATGAATGATTAGCATTTGAGAGCACGTTTGTTGGGTGAAAAATGAATGAGTTAGAAAACGTTTTTCGAAAAATGATCGCTTACAAAAAATGAATCTATGGAGGAGAGAGGGTCTTTGGATATAAATTGTGATCGATAATGAAAAGATTTCTCACCGACTAATTATTTTAAGTAATATAAGTAATTCTTTTCGAGAAAATGTCTTTCGAACTATTCATTTTTTGCGAAATAAATAGAGCCTAAGTTTATTGCAACGTATACACGACGAATATTGTCGAAATTTTCTTTAAGGGAAGAGAGAAGTAGAATTTTAGTCATTATTGTTATTTAATTTTTTTTCACTTTGCAGTCGGATGACGACGGGTCAGAGACATGTGTAATGAATGTACATTATGTTATACTTTCACAATAAATATGATATGATATCGATGTAAAAAGTAGAGGTCACTTTAATGGTTGGTCCTAAAGCAAAAGTAGCACAATTGGGTCATGGAGGAGGCCACGAATTGTTTCGATTTCTTCACGAAGTTTCTTCGTCAAAGGGTTTCCCCTATTAATAAATTAGTATTTACTAAATTATTCTCTTGCCTCTAAATTTATACTAATTTACACAATAATCTTAAAGGAGCTACAAAAAAAAAATAAAAAAGAGAGAAAGAAATTGCAACTGGTGGTTGGTCTTGATACCCAAAATCTCTTCATGACGCAATGGATCTAATCTGTGACTGAAATATAATGTTCATGTAATAAGCAGATTGGATCTCCATCTGGGGGAGGTTTAGATTAAGATTAACTATGTGTAATTGCTCATTGGAGGAATCCCATCATTATCTTTTTTTAGGCCGGCAATAGATAAAAAGAAAACCAGCTGCTATAACTCTTCTCAACCACCCCAGAGGAAGCCTCTTCTCGTATAGATTATTGATAAAAATATGTCTATACACATGCATACGCAATTGCAAAAAAGATAAATTTGCTTCAGAGTTTTAGAAGAAAAATCCCTCCACGTCTTTTCTTTTTTCGGAAAAAAAAAAACTTGTCATGCATGGCATGCCCTATGCGCTTAAGAAAAATTGTGTGATTATGGGAGAAAAATGGGTGATTAGCGGAGGCAGTGAGTGATTACTCATTTACTTATGAAATAATAGTACGTCGGATAATTCCAAAATGTCTAAAGAAGTGAGGTAAACCTTACTTTTCCAATTGTATGTTAAACCTTACTCTTCCAATTCTATGTTATGCTTTCTTTTTTGCTAAGTTAATTAGGGTTTGGCTGGGTCGGGACATTCCTTAGCTACTCTAGTAACGTTTGGTATAAGGTGTCAACTGTACACCGACTGCTCATTGGGCAAGCTTGTTGCCACAACCTCGCCAGGGGCGGTGGGGAAGCCTATCAACAATGATGCACCAAAGTCGAGGCTCGTCTTTCACAAATTAATAGGGTATCTAGAGATTAAAGATAAACTGGGCAATTTTACTTATGATCTTCGGCTTGCAAATCAAGTCTCAGATTAAGAACACACGTACACTTACAAAGAAGTATGATACTTTCTTGGCCTTAACTCAGAACTTTCAAATCTATTCCTGTTGTGGATAGATCATGCATCAAACTTTAATATGCTTAGTAGTCTGTGGAAGTCACATGCAATGTCAATTAAAAACGAAAACTAATATCGAAAGACTGCCTTAAGCATATCTTAGTACTTTCAAAGCGTTATTTATTAGTCATATAGCACGAATATCAATGATGTGTGCGTCATATATCTAGAAGTAGAAAGCTTTGTCCATTTCCAATTTTTTCCCAAAAGAATTGAATTCCTCAACCTCCCAATCAGACAACAGTTGGTACGAAAATGATTTTATTGCTGAATCCGGGATCTGTTTTGATTGAACGGTGACTACTATTAATGATCGGGTCCTCATAACACACCACGGAATCACAAATAAAAAAACATTCTAATAGATACAAAAAACAAGCTAAGTAGGTAAAGATAGAAAGTATTGGTGCTCATGAAAACACAAGCAAATTTTCACAAGTATATCGAACACCTTCCCCCAAAGATTGAGGTCTCGGTCTTTCATACGAGCTTTCTCTTTCTCCTAATGGTTCAAGGAAGGCTAAGAGAAAGAAGTAGACGAGCAAGAAAAACTTTTTCATGCTCAATTCCTTGCTCTTTCTATCACTTCTCATTAGCAACTCATCTGAGAACAACCTATTCTTCATCACAGCAAACCATGAAGAGTCGAAAGGGTTCACATTTGTTGAGAGGTTGCGGGCAAAAGAGTAAGTAAAAGTTTCTGATCTAATGCAATTTCATTCGCCGCTTGTAAACCTGCAAACCCTTCCATGACTAATTTTCTTTGTACCCTAATATATTTTCATACAAGAAGATTGCTTGTGCGGATCGTATTGTAGATTCGGTTCCGCTCGTTAAATGGGCGTGCGCCGAGAAAAAACTCAGCTTGAAAGACATCACAAAATGAGTGAATAAACGAGATTTCTTCGACCCAAAAAAGAAAAAATGAGACTGTTTTCTTGTGCAAGTATATTTCTTTAGTACGATTCACAAATTATAAAATGATATTCATTACATATATAGCGGCACATCCTAAGTTCTTAAGGATCGTATAATACTTTTATTCACACAAAATATCTGAGAACTAGACACAAACCGAACCAAGAGCATCCCGAGGAATATATCAGCAAAAAGAAGAAATAATCTATGAAGAGAGAGAGAGAGAGAGAGAGAGAGAGAGGCTCTTGCATCTTACAACGACAGGAGCTATTTCATATATGTTGATCACTTTCTTTGTGCACCCCATTTCTAAAACGCAGGTGGTGGTCACAAACCGATCTTCAGAAGCAGGAAACGAAAAGAAAGAGAAGACAATAAACAGAAAACAGAAAACCCAATAGAAATCTACGTACACACACAGACACAGAGACACCAAACATCACCATAGCACCAGAACAAAACCAGACTAAAAGCGGTTCAGGTCGGGCGATCGCGTGGACCCCTTTTAGCTCGAGTTTGTCCCTTCTTGAGCTTCGGAAGAAAGATGTAGAAACGTGTTCAGGGAAGACGGAGGATCCGCCGGAGATCGTCGGTCGCGCCGGCGTCGACTCCGGCGGCCTCGGCGTTGCAGCTGAGCTGCTTCGGCCTCAGAAGAGAGAATTTGGGCAACGGCAAGCTGCTCGGAGGAGGCGATATCGCGTACATCACAGAGCCAGAGAACTTCTCCAAATCTCCCAAAAAGAGCGAGCGAAAATCCACATCGCCCCTTAACGAACCTTTGGACACAAAGACGTCCCTTGGGAGCTTATCGGGGTCGGGACCCATCGAGCATGTCGACCCGATAATCGCGACACCGTCGTCAGCTGACGAGTTATCCGAACGTGGGGTGGAGGGTGATTTCACTGGGTTCTTGGGGTCCTTCTTTTTGTTGTTGTGGTCTTGCCTTTTCGGGTGCTTCGGAGAAGATTTCTTGGGAGTGAGCGAGGACGACGACTTGGGCTTGTTGGTCTTCATGTTAGAATTAGGGGGTGGGAGAGAGAGGGAAGAGTAGGGTTTTGGCAAAGGAAGCAAAGGTGGTTGCCCTTGGTGGTGATGAGGAGGGACGTTGTTGAAGCTGAGAGGGTTGGAAATCGGTGGCGATGATGGAGGAGGGTAAGAGAAGGAGAGAGAACGCGAAGGCGGAGGTGGACAAGTGAAGAGCAGCACATGACCTCCTCCTCCTCCTCCGTTATGGACGGTACTCATGGGAGATGGTTTCACCGTGAAGCTATGGTGGCTGTGGTGGTGGTTTCTCTTTGGCACCTCCTTGACCTGCTTGCATGGGGAGATCGGCTGATGATCTCGTGCGTACGATGCAGCAACTGCTTCCATGGTGGTTCCTTCACAAACTCACAGAACAGAGAGAGAGAGAGAGAGAGAGAGAGAGAGAGAGAGAGAGAGAGAGAGAGAGTTTCTTTGATCGAGATCTGGGGAAAAAACAAGAAACGACGTGATCAAAGAGTTTCAAACTGATTCACCAAAAAGGCAGTTTGACGTTTGTTCAGCTTGAGAGCTCTTAGGGAAAATCCTCAAGGATGATTTTCTCGGGAAAGTTTGCAGGTAGAGAGCTTTACAGAAACTCACGTGAGGGGCGGAACGAGAAAAAACGAGACGAAAACCACAAAATAACAAAAGATACGGACCGCCTGGTCGGTATCAAAAGATTTGAGTAAAGAGAGGAAGAACACAGAGGTGTAGGAGGATGATCATCAGCTACATATGTCGATTCACGATCGACCGATATGAATGAACCCTTTCTCAGATTCCCACAGGGTTTTCTTGATCTGCTTTTCCTGTGAATGAACGCAGCTTTCTGTCAGCTCGCCCCATCATTTTATAGGCCAAATATCTCCAACGGCTACACATGGCAACAGAACATGGCCTTTGATTATTTCCCCCTTTTCATTTGTTTTTTTCCCTTCGATCTCATCCCATCCCCGGACCTCTCCTTTGGACCAATGAGAATTGAGTAAGTATTACGACAAGACGTCGTAAAATAAGGATTAAAAGAAAAATCTTCTTACCCCGACTCAATTTCATGACCACGCTTTCTAAATCGCGGGTTGACTTAAAAACCCATTACTACTTCGCAGCAATGGGACGCGGTCATGATATACTGCTTTTCATTTCTCGCGTGGTATTAATCAATATTCGAAAAATTGGATTGGTCCGTATTCTTAATTTTTTGAACAGATACAATGATTTTTTATCGCATGATGTGTTGCCATTTCGAAAATGAAAGTGCCTCAAAGCATGTATTTGCGCGACCCCCGATGTTAATGTATTTCGTGTTGCCATTTTGCTTGTCAAATACCGCGTCTAATACTACAGAATAACGTCGCTGTATGAATCTCCTAATTTACCGACAACCGTTGCGGTCGGTCCACTGTAGGGCGGCAACCGCCATTCGTATGTGGACCGTCGGATCCCCTTCGGGGGGAATGAGCCGTTGGGGGGATCCTGGCCGTCCATCGCCCCTTCCTCCCCCCTTCCCCTCGGGGTCCTCGAAGTTGGTGTGGCGAGGGGGGGGGGGGGGCCCGGGGATCGAGCCAATCGTGGCCGTACACGTTTCCGGAAGAAAAGGCCGGTGGGGGCCCTCGGGCAGGCAGCCTGCGGCTAGCGTCGTCCTAAGCCTAGTCGTTATGACCTCATGTGCGGGGAATTCAAAGGTGTGGTCGAAACAAATAAAATAATAATAAAAAAAATCCCGATAAAAAAAGGAGATATTTCCTTTTTTGGGTCCCCCGGCTCGGGGGGTTGCTAAGGGTCCTACAGAACGTACGGTGGAGGCGCATTGTCTGTGGACACGTGGCGATCGGGCGGCCAATCGCGGCTGTCCGTGATGGGTGGGGGCTAGTGGGTTTGCGTGTGATTCCGGGCATTGGTGTCATTGCAATTTTAGATTTAGTAGGTCACAGCAAAGATTTTGGTTACAGCAAATATTTTGGTTACATATACATCTGCTCTTCTGTTTAAAATTTTTGTGACGACAAGGCCTGTCGACTTCCGGATTGTTTGGTACATTTGAATTAGATTTTGATAAAAACCTATGGTTATAAGCTTATGGAATTGGATATGAGAAATTTATATTATATCTGTTTTCTCCTCACTCCCTCTAGTTTATTATTATTTATGCTGCTGCTACTAAGTTGAGTCGAGGAAACACACAGAGTTTTCTTTTCAACCCAGATAACGTTAGGTCACGTTGTGCATGCAATTGTACCCAACGTTTGCATGGCAAATAGAGTATTTGGAAGTAGAACATCATGGATATTTCTTTTTTCTAGATATCAAGATATTGGTCATAAAATGCAAAAAGCAATGACTTTTGGGTGCCTTTGTTTCGCGGAAAGCGAATAATTTGGTAATTTTTTTAAATAAATGATCACTTGTATCGCTTATAAAAATGAACAAACAAAAAATATTTTCATTTTCCACCAAAATATATAGACATAATTGTTGTTGGTAATGAACATACTTTTCATTAATTAATTATTTCAAACGATACAAATAATTATTTTTAGGAATATATTTTCTGAATCGTTCATCTTCTGGGAAATCGAAGGAATACGGAATTGATATATAGACTATGTCCCAAATATGGATAGAGTAATTGCCGAGCTTAGAATTTACCTATTTAAGGTGCGTTTTCTTGTCACACTATTAATGATAGTAAAAACTTAGGGAAGGTGCCATGTTGTAGAAGAGCACAGACTAAGACTTTCACACCGCATTGGGTGACTTTGCTTACCCTAGAAATGCCTTTGAACCAAAGCTCTTGTGGACAAGAACGCACAAAAACGACAATACACAAATATAGACAAAGGTTGCGGACAATACGACTTCGACCTAAGAATAAATAAATCAAATTTTTTAGACTATAAGCACGTGAAGCACCGCCTTGTGGACTTGTAGTTGAAAAACAAGGCCCCCACCCCAACAAAAAACCATGCAATATTCCTATTGGAAGAGCAGCTTCGAAAAAATTTCCGACCACAAATAAACAAACGAGAAAGAAGCTACAAAACCCTACGTGGGGTATACATTCACAAGGGGTTTCGCAGATTATCAACGAGGGCAAACGCCAAGATGCCGACTTTTCGAGGTTCCTTTGACGAGAGGACGTGAGAAATCCTTATCAAATAGGTTGAGACGACTCTTGCACTAGACTTGAAATTGTGGAGTTGACCCAAACTTGGAATATATATTGGCTTGGGTTATGTGGAACCATGTCATCTAGATTGCTAAGAATATTACTTGGTAGAAGAGTTTTAGTAGGATTGTTCTTATTAGGTCTAACAATTTTTTAGCTAATGGGAAAATGACGCAGATATAATCCCCGAACTTTGGCGCAGTGTGTCCCTGGACTTCCGATTTGTTCAATGCGGTCCCCGAACTATTAGTAAATGTTTAATGCGGTCATTTCGTTTGCTTGAACGACAAATCAGACGTTATTTGATGACGTGAATATATACCGAGTTGGACTCTTATAAATCATGGGTCAACATGTCAATCTTTTTATTCATATATTTTAGCAAAGTACAAAAAAATCAGGGCATTAACATGTCCACTATTATCGATGAAGTGGATTGTCATACCTTGATTTGAGATGAATATCCTACTTGGATAGTCTGCATGCAATTTTTATTTTGTTGTCTATCGTTCAAACTTAACAGATTGGAAGTTTCATCAGCAAATTCCGTTAACTTGGATTAGCGGAATGACGACATTGAATGTTTTCATATAATCTAGGGACTAGATTGAACATTTATTAATAATTTATGGACCAAATTGAACAAATTAAAAGTTCATGAACAATATTGCACATTAGACCAACATTCATGGACTATTTGTGTCATTTTCCCATGATAAATCTGGCCACGAAGAAAAGAAATATTTTATATCCATTTTCTTTCAACAAGCAAAATAATTAAGATAGATGGGGCTAACCTCTATTATATGTGTGGAAAATATTAAGAAAATCATTATTGGTTTCCTCCTTCTCTGATTTTAACTTATGTTATTATAAGGGTTAATATCACGGAAAACTCCAAACTGGTACACTTATGATAAATTTATTTCAAAACTAATTTTTTGACCATGAAAAAACCAAAGCTGGTACACCTGAAACAATTTTACCCTCTGTTAGTTTCCGTTAAATTTTATTGTCAAATTTCTGAGTTGAATGACACGTAAACGGATGTATTAGTTTAGGGTTTTACCCTCCGTCTATTATAGGTGTACCATTTTGTGAGTTTTCGTGATATTAATCCAATTTAACGGAGAGCAAATTTGCCATAAATATATAAGTTTGAAATTTTTGGTGATCAAAAAATTAATTTAAGCTAAATCTGCCACCAATGTACCTATTTGAGATTTTTCGTGATATTAACCTTTATCGTAAACATTCTTCTCATCTTATGTAAGACAAGAGCCCGCCGGAGAGTATTAGGTGATGTGGGTCTTATCAAGATTGGGCGGTCGATATGCATATTAATTTATATTTTCACATAACCGCATATTTTTCTTGCCTCTCACTAAAAATTCAAACTTCCATTTATTGACTGTTTCCCTTGATCCGCAGGAACGATCCTGCGTAATATTCTCTTTTTGTTTCTATCTTAATTTTAATTTTAATTGAAATAAATTCCCTAGGCACAACATCCTCTTGGCCTCTCTAACTTTTAGAGTGATACACATTTGCCCCGCATTTTAAGCGTACACAAAATCCTCCTAAACTTTTATTTCATTATAACCGTCAATCCTCTGTCCATTTTTCGGTTTACACTTGCGTAGCATGTGATTTTTCGAGGATAAAATTGTAATTTTATTTTATTTTTTAGACAAATTACTCTTTTGCTCGCAATGTGGTAATACAAATTAGAAATCGTAAACTGAATATGGGAAAACGAGGAAAAAAATGCAATGATCTATTTGAAAAAATTAGGACATAAAAAACGCAATGCGTTGTGTTTTTATTTTATTTTCCTTAGATCCTCCATTAGTTAGGACTTTAAAAAGACCAAGCCATTGGCGTTATATAATTATGCACTATTGTAATTTTAGGCACTATTCTACTTAATCATGCACACACCAAAAGAGCTATGGAAACAATACTAACTAATGAGATTCTTAGAATGCTGGAAGAAATTAAGAGAGAATCAAATCGAGCCATCTAAATCAGAGAAATATCATTTTCACAACATGAATGAAAGGAACGACTTTGTGACTATGACGAGCAAAGCCAACTTCGCCAGGAGCGATTTCTTGGAAGTAGAGGACGAGATAATTAGTTTCAGGATATAATTATAATCAAAGAAAAAGTAAAAGGAAAACAGAGATTATAATCAATATTATTGTTGTTGTTATTATTATATTTCTATTTGAATGTCATCATATATCCATCCCTTCACTTGTTTTTTCTTAACTCATCATCGTCATCATTGTCAGTATTGTTCTTCTCATTGTTTCTTTCTAATAATTTAAAGATCCAATTTCTTTTTTATCTTTCTACATTTTTCTCTAGATTTTAGTTTATTTTCGCGTACTTTGGTGGCAAAAGAGTCATTTGACTGAAAATGGAGGAGAATTACAATCTCACCCTTGAAAATCGACATGTTAAGCGCGTGCAAATGGAAAAATCTATAGCGGGCTGGCAGCCGTAACAAATTGAAAATTATACTTGTTGAAAGTTGAGTGGCAAAAGTGTACCGTCCTAAAAGTTCAAAAGCAGTTCGTATAGTTTTCCCCTAAATTTATACCAGGTTGATAGCTCTGTCGGCAGCCGTCTTTTAGTATTGCTTTGATACACGGCCTGCATGCACTTCAATCGTTTGATGCCTTGCGACAGGCAGATGAACTACAATATCAAAAGGGCTCTAACCTTAAAATCATGATCATGCAAGGCACGGCTCTTTCACTTGATTTCAAACCTATTCAAACCGATCATGATCATGCAAGGCAGGGCCGTGTACCTTCTCGACCCCTGGTTCCTATGGCCGTGAACTTTAGCCCCACTGATTATTTAGACTTAATGCTTGAATTTATCCATAACCCATGATGGCTTTCAGACACAGTACAGAGTGGGCTTTGCTTACTTAAGGGGTTCTTTTCATCGACTTCTCTTGAGCAATGAGTGAGCTTAGTCAACCTGATAACAGCAAGAGAAATTGCTCCAGTGAAACTCTAGGAAGCTCATTCCGGAATTTCCACAACGAGATGCACATGCTTGAAACAAAAAACTTAGCAGTGTAAACATCACCACATAGTACAACTCCCCCCCGTGGACTCAAAATTGCATAATAATCCGATAAGTTGTACAGTTAGTTTTCCGTAATAGTATCCCTGCATTTGGTACATGTCAAAAATGTCGTTTGCCCTTCATCTGCCGATCTCATCTGCAACGAGTCAGATATCAAGAAGGAATGAGTGAAGAGAAAAGGGAAGGCGGGAAATACCCGTGTTAGGGAAGATTAACGTGAGAGGAAATAGCAGCATGCTAAACTTGTACATTACCTGCTTCCGGGTATACTCGAATTCATCGTTGCCACATTTTTCACACTTACGATTTATCTGAGAAGCAAGACCGACATAAGAGAAGATCACATTCCGTTCACAAAGGAAAAATCATGTCAATATACTAATACAGCAGAATCTAGCCACTACCGTAGCTAATTGCAGCGTCCCCTCACTGAAGGTAGACATGCCTAGCTCCCTCCTTATGTCCTGCGATATGGTAGATGACCATGAGAAGCTTACTAACGTGTGAAATTTGATCCAATTATTAAGGAAAATCAAGAAGGACAATAGCTCTTTCTCAACTAAAGTACTAATCTAGGTGTTGCTTCAAAAGTTAAAAAAAATAAAGGTCCGTGATTCCACGTGTTAATAAGAAAAGGTTTAAGATAATGGCAAAGGTTTTCTTTGATAGAATCATCTTTAATAGGACAAAAACACAAGCCTAGTGATCCCTACCAAATCTCTCCACAAGGTTGCAAATTCTACATGATGTGGGCACTATTTGAGTCAATAATGTTAGAGAAGCCATCAAGAGCTACATGCATCTATGTTGCAGCAGAACCACTCATCTCAGTACCTTCCATTCTCATCAAGGTCAGTTATTGGAAGCAACAAAAGGTAGTTGTGAAAATTTAAGCTTCACTAACAACAGATAGCCTCATATTCAGGTTGTGGTCAGCGAATTGAAAGCCTTCCAGAAGCGAGAAAACTTGATGTATTTTTTCCATCGTGAGTAGGGGTTCGCATTTTGTCCCAAGTCGATGCCCTTCCTAAGCCTCAAATGTTCTTTAGTACCGAAGAGTCACCATAGCCATTCAAATCTCTAGCATTTTCTATATTTGATGGTCACTCTAAAAATGACTACCTAGGCAGTAGAACATGATGACATATAAGTATATTCTCTTAAATTGTTGAACTACTAGAACATGTATGCACTTAACTCATGATTCTAAGATCCAACGGAGTGCATGCATCAATCAGTCAGCCAGTTCAAGGCATACCTGAGCGGTTACTCTGTATTTAATTTCTCTTCCAGCAATATCTGAGAGCAAAGGCACATAATTGAGAAAAGTATAAATTGACTCGCAGAGCAAAATGGTCAGGTCTAATAAACAGCTAACCGGCAGCTAATATCTGAAAATAACAATAAAAACACACAATGACTGAACACCGCACCACTCCAAACAAAAAGACAGCAGACATCGTCAGAGAATGAGACGGCTGTGCTAAGATATGCATTTCACATTAGTGGTTTGACTTGAAAGGGCTATTTTTTGCCCAAACTAGTGGTCTCGGGTGTAAACAGTAACAAATTCTGCGAAAAACCTACTGAGGAATGATTTTGGCCAGCATAATAGTATCTCCAAGTTCATATTAGCCAGTATATACGTAGGATAGCTGATCACACCTCTCACCGCCATTAAAAGAGTTCCTCTCCAGCCTTTTCCTTTATTCTCCTCAAAAATCAAATTCGCAGGGTGCCTCTCCATGGATCATCATCATCATCATCCAAAATCAAGACCTAAGATACTTCTAACCAAATACAAATTCACAAGGGGACATGTCCCAAGGTATGCAGAAGGCTCAAAATGGAAAATTTGCAGATGGAAAGACGAAAAATTTCCGATATCCTAGGCAAAGAAATTATTTCTTTTCAATGCATCGCGTGACAAAGCATCAAAGCTTTGCAGTATAAAAGAACAATGGCGAGCCACTGCCACTATAAAAAAGAGCAGAACACAGAAACGGAAGGGCACAACAGCCTACCCTGAGAAGCAACACTTGACAATCTTGAGACATAGTATAAAAAAACCAATCTCATGTCAACTTCAAGACCAAGAAAGAGAGACCCCAAAAGCAGAACCATCTCTATAATTATTAATCAAGTACATTGAGCGATTGAGGAGGCAGATCCTAACCTTTAGTGCTCCGCTTGAAATTACACAAAGGGCATTTTGCAAACTTGACTGAACTCAATGTAAGCATCGTCCCGCATAAGTCGCAAAACAAGAAATCACGATCCCGGGAACGCGCCATGAATCGGCCTGCAGAGGACAAACCTTAATCAGATTTTTCTCTCCTCTTTTTCACCCTTACACCAGCTTTGACAGTATACAAATTCATACAAGGGTGTCACCTAGCAAAGAAGCGTTCTAGAAAGAATTGAAATGTCCCTAAACTACCTCTACTTCTTAGAACCCCAAGCCATTCGATAGCTCCAAAAGGGTAAACGAGACTCGCCTTAGTTTTCGGCGTCGGACCCGCGAGCGAGGCGTGGCGGCGGACGAAGACCGGCGGCGAATCGGGGCGTGACGAGCTGCAAAAGAACGGGAGGCGGAGCTGGGTCGCTGCGAAGAAGAGGGAGGTCCGACGACGGCGGCGAGGATTGCTGCGGCTCGAGAGCCCGACTGCGCCGACAGGTAGGCTGAGGTTTAGAGGTTAAAGGTTTTGGGGAAAATTTCAATTAAGGGCATCAAACGGGGTCAAATTCTAAAAACAGAGGACAAAAGTGAACATAACGTCAAATAAAGATTTGAAGTGTCAAATTAGTCTTAAATAAGGATGTGAAGTACTCAAAAAGTCTCAAATAAGGGCTTGGATCGCCGGCCGACCAAAATGTCCGCCGGCCGGAGAGAGAAATTACTATTCCGGTACCGGAACAGTAATTTTTTTTTCCTTTTCTGTTTATTTTCTTTTCCTTTTCCTTTTCTTTTTTTTTTCTTCTCTTCCTCCGCCGGCCATAGCCGGGGCCGGCGGAGGTCGCCGGCCTCAGGCGAGGCCGCCTCGCCGGCGTCGGGCGAAGGCCGCCTCGCTGGGCCGGGCGAGGTCGGCCTCGCCGCTTCGGCGAGGTCGGCCTCGCGCACGCAGCGGCAAGGCCGGCCTAGCCCGACGCCGGCGAGGTCGAGCCCTCGCCGGATCCCGGGTGAGGGCTCGGCCTCGCCCAACAACGGCGAGGTCGAGCCTCGCCGGTTCCGGCGAGGGCTCGGCCTCGCCGGCGTCGGCGAGGCTCTGTCTCGCTCGCACGCGGCGACGCCGGCGAGGTCGAGCCCTCGCCGGATCTCGGCGAGGCTCGACCTCGCCCAAGCTGCAGCGAGGTCGAGCCTTGCCGGTTCGGGCGAGGGCTCGGCCTCGCCGCTGCCGGCGAGGCCGGTCTTGCTCGCAACCAGCAAGGCCGGCCTAGCCCGACGCCGGCGAGGTCGGTCTCGCCCGCAACGGCAAGGTCGGCCTCGCCCGACGCCGGCAAGGTCGAGCCCTCACCGGCGTCGGGCGAGGCCGGTCTCTCCTGACGCCGGCGAGGGCGGCCTCGCCTGAGGCCGGCGACCTCCGCCGGCCCCGGCTATGGCCGGCGGAGGAAGAGAAGAAAAAAAAAGAAAAGAAAAAGGAAAAGAAAAAAAACTCGAAAAAGAAAAACAGGAAGGAAAAAATAAAAAATGTTCTTGTTAGGTCTTAGGAATAGTAATATTCTCGCCGCGGCGGGCATTTTGCCAGCCGGCGACCCAGGCCTTATTTGAGACTTTTTGGGCACTTCAGGTCCTTATTTGAGACTGATTAGGTACTTCAGGTCCTTATTTAACACTATATTCACTTTGGGTGCTCTTTTGAGAATTTGACCCCACTTGGGGTCCTTAATTGAAATTTTCCCAAGGTTTTGTTCATGTCACAACCTAAAAAATAAATCGACGCGGTCTATATATTAAGGGATAAGTGTACTAAAAGTCTTAAAACTTATTAAGAAAGTACAATTAAATCATAAAACTTTTAAAAAATGCGATCAAGTCACAAAACTTATTACGAAAGTACAATTAAGTCCTAAAACTTTCAAAAAGTGCAATCAAGTCCTAAAACTTATCATGAAGATGCAATCAAGTCCTAAAACTTATCACAAAAGTGTAATCAAGTCCAAAACTTTCAAAAAGTGCAATCAATGGAAGGACTTGATTGAATCAATTTGATAAGTTTTAGGACTTATTTACATTTTCGTGACAAGCTTTAGGACTTGTTTGCACTTTTTGAAAGTTTTAGGACTTAATTGTACTTTTCTAATAATTTTTAGGACTAAATTGCACATTATGAAAGTTTTAAGACTCAATTGCACTTTCGTGACAAGTTTTAGGACTTTGAATGCACTTATCCCATATAATAATTATCGAGTATATTATTTTGTTAAAATTGTTTTTATCTATTTTTCAAACTATTACATACATTTCGAATCTTCGTCAATACACATGTCATCAAAATCCAAATTTACCTATTTTAGATTCTCATATCCATATGTAAAATTATAGATTAATCGTGTTTTATATAGTGTGTTTTTTTGTATACTTAAGTTCCATGTAATATTTACATGCTAAAAGTAAATAGATATTGCTATGATTATCCAGTACATTATTTTTGTCAAGATTGTTTTATTTAATTTCTCAAATTATCAAAAGAATCATACGAACGTTGCTGGGAGTCAAGTTGATTGTTGTATATAATATATAGCTTGAATAAAGTTATAAATCATATATTAGAGCCGGATTAATTATTTTTTATTCAAAGCACTACTATCAAAATCCACTTCACATTGTATAAACTCAATCGGTTTTACTATCAAAATCCATTTATACTTACAAATTACTATATGTCCAATGTAATATTGAAATTGAAAAATTGATTTGTTAAAATTGGGGAAATTATTCAAAAAATTTTAAACCTATTACACTTTAACGCTTTTACCAATTTAGTTCTAAACCTTTTAATTTTGCTAATTGAGTCATAAATATTTTCACTTTTTGATGGCAAAAAATCGCTGATATAAATGCCGACTGTCTTACGTGGCGCGACCGGGGCTGATGTGGATAATTTTAATGAATGTTTTAATATTTTTTCTATTTATATATTTATTCTTTTCTCATTCTTTTCTTTCTTCCCTTCTTCCTCCTCTAGCTGGTCGCCGGGCCTTGGCGACTGGCCAGAGGCGAGGGCTGGCGAAGCTCGGCCCTTCTGGCCTCTGGCAAGGGCGAGCTTCCTTCGTCCCTATTGAGGCTCACCATTGTCGAGTTGGTGAGGTCGACCTCATCGGCCCTCGCTCGTGGCTAGTCATCGGCCATCATCAAGGCCCGGCAACCGGCTAGAGGAGGAATAAGGGAAGAAAAAAAAGAAAGAAAAGAAAAAGAAAAAAAGGAAAAAGAGAATAATTAATGATTAAAAATTTCGAAAAAAATAGTAGAATATTATTAAAAATTATCTGTGTCAGCGCTAGTCACGTCATGTAGGATGGTCGGCGTCCATGTCAGCGATTTCCGGCCAAAATTGATCAAATTGACTCAATTGGTAAACGTGAAAAAAGTTCACAACTTAATTGATAAAATTGAAAGGTTTAAAACTGGATTGACAAAAGTACAATAAATTTAGGACTCTTTGGATATTTTTTTCCGTTAAAATTTAAGGTTGAAATGAAACACCTTCAAGTTTGCTCTATATATTATAGAGATATATCTTTTTATATTGTATAATTTATTTTTACTAAAATATGTTGTAGCACCCCGTTGAAAATCACTCAAAGTCAACCAACTTAGAAATGTCCACCGTTACTTAAGGATCCATTTGTTTTGAGAAAGATGAATAATGTGAAAAACATTTTTCTTAAAAAATGATCGTTTACAAGAATGAATGAACAAAAATATTTTTAACGTCCACGAAAATATTTAGACAAAAATTATTGTCGGTAATGAAAACATAATTTTCATCGACTTATTATTTCAGACAATATAAACGATCTTTTTTAGGAAAATATTTTTAAAATCATTTATTTTTCGTGAAATAAACGCACCTTAACGTGTTTATCGCGATTAGCATGGAATTCTACCAAGACGATGAAGAAAACTAGATTTGTGACCCCACTAATGTCATTTCAATAAGTCTACTTAGCATTTATAATTAAGTGCACCGCCGACCATAAGCCAAAAACATGGAATCCTACCATACCTTGTGTGGGCCCACCAATATGAATGGGACTTATACAAATATATCCTAAAGTCTCTCGGTAAATTAATCAAGGAGGACTAATTTGGCCCGCAGTAAAGCATCACTATGGTCGACCAAAAAAAACATCACTATGGTAATGGTATAGTCAACAAAAGATGCGGCATCGTTTTGTCATAAAAGGCCACCTTATCCTTCACGTTGGACTTTCTTTTTTAATAAAAAAGCCATGTGAGCATTAACATTTTATTTAAAAAGCCACGTAAGACTTTTTGCTGGAACTTATCGCCGGAGGCATTTGGGTGATCATTTTTCTCTGATGCGGCACTAAAGTGATCTGGCGAAAAGTTTTGACACTAAAATAAGCGCAGTACGAAAATTATGACACTTCTAGTATCCTCTTATCCTGAAGAATCAACACTAAAATCCTTTAAGTTGCAGGTCAGTAGTTGATTGTGGACCGAATGCTATTAGACATCTGTCTTTAATAGGGAAAATAGGTCAAGTGAAATGTGAAATATTAAAAGTTTCTTCAAATTCCAAATAAATCTACTAAAAAAAAATAACAAAAGAGAGTGACAAATTCAGAGTAAATTGTCTACCATATGGTGATTCCCATAACCGTGCATGTCTTCATTAAGGAAACACAGTCAATGTAGTTGCGGTCGATGCCAGCTTAAAACTCGTGGATTTTCACAGTTGTGGACGGCTCATCAATCTTCTAGGCACTTGAACCTCTTGTCCTGGTTAACTATCAATTAATTTGTTCTGGCAGCGCTATATTCCAGCTAGTACCTCATCTCCTGGATGACTATCGATTTGTTGTTTTCGCGGATTGAGATAATAGAGTAGGAGTTGCATATGCTCTTGAATCTTGATCTGCTGTACTATTTTCAAGAGGTTCCATCCGCCACTTTGAGGGATGACTTCCTTTGTTTGTTCTCAGATGACGTTTTCATAGTATCGAGAATCGTATACCTTTGAAGGGGATGGCACATGATATCACTATAAAACGCATGAACCTGCATACTTTGTTTCGGGTAGTACGCTCTCTCCAGAAAAGTGTCGTTTTTCTTTTTGTGGCTTAAGAATGACGGTCATTCAGGTTCCGGTTTCATATTTTAAAATTGCAATTGCTCTGAGGTCGCAGCATTTTCCCACCCTTTTTGCAAACTTGAATTCTCGATACATTGATCCTCTGATTCTTACACAGTTCACCTTTTGCTTCCCTGCATTTATAAATGCATGAGGCTTTGCTATCTTGGTTTCAACATATTGATGTTTGATTGCACTGTTGGCGCTGGATTGACGTGAATATGGACAAATTTTGGTGTTCTTTGTGATGCAATTTATTGTTCTTCTGTCAAGTGAACTGTGGTGATAAAATGTTATTTGCAAGTTGATATGCCTTACGATGCTTGCAATGTAATCAGATTGTCACCTTGTTTGAGTTGAATTTCATTACATATGACTTGACAACCTTAGAGATTCAATTCAGTAACCAAGCGAGCAGCAATATCTCAGGTTAAATTCTTTGTGAAAATTTATTATATGGACTGCACTTTATCATGAACAACTGAAATTTTGCGACTGTTGTCAGCGGCAGGGTGCATGTAAATGGGGAAAGCTACTGTAGGTAGAACAACTTTGATGGACAGATGCTTTGGCAGATAAGCTTTCTGAAGCGTTATGTGTACATAACCAGTAACAGATAGTTGCACAAGACAGACTTTTGAATAGGCTAACTATAGAAAAGACAAATCCATGAACAGGGCAATATAATTTTCTCAGCTTCACCGTATACATATACGTAAATAAATTGTCATCTTGGCAGTGACAAGATTATTTCACTGCGCTTGGGAGAGCTTTCTGATTGAAGTGATGTTTTGGTGTCAAAGTGGGATATAAGTCGCCTCTCATAGCAACAGACATACCTGGGGTTTTTCACATGTCAATATGCTTTTCTAAAAAAATTACAGTGTGATGTTTCTGTGATGACATTGTGTTAGGATTCTTATATTGTGCCTTACCCATGTTATGTTGGGATGGCGGAAACAGATAGTGACTTTGGGAGATATGGTTGAGGAATGTGCCGGTGAAATCCTTGATGAAAACGATTCAAAAGTAAGCCCGTTAAGACTTTTTATGTGATCATTTGGCATTTACGAAGCGTAGTGCTTGCATATAGTCGAAGTTCATACTTCAGTTCAGATTTATTAGCTTTTCTTGAGCTCCATGAGTATAGGCAACGTTAGGGCCTTTCAAGACATTGCAGAGAGAACAGAAGTAAAGCCACGCAGTCGCTTGCTAAATAAAAGTTAGATCCAATCTGGATAAGATTAGAACCACAAACATGACAGAGGGTTGGAGACACCTCTCTAGTCCTTAAATTACGGTCGTATTTGATACGAAACTCATTCTAGGTCAGCTCTGAAATATAATACCATCAATGCATGCTATTGTGGAATTGCCAATAGCAGGACTCGAGTCCTGAAACTTTGAGTTACATCTTTGACTGCTTAAGCAGGAGCAGTGATTTCAATAAAGGCTATGAATTATCAAGCTTTTAATGGTGCCCTTGGCTTGTTAGGACACTAAGTATTATCTCTAGTAGCAATGTGTTTTCACCTGCAGATACAAAAAATGTGGCTTTATGAAGAACAAAACAGATAAGAATATCCTCATGGCCAAGAGAAGTTCAAAATTTGATCCCAAAGAGCATCAAGCTGCCATTTGCTTCATTTCAGTTATGGTATTAATTAATTCCCAAGAATCGAGTTTCTTAAATGGCTCTCCGATAATGACACATTTAGAATTATGTGGTGAATTTCCCACAGGCTTTGTAATTCTTTCTGATTTAAAATAGAACTCCTTCTCGCACTTATTTTCTCAATGAAAACAATCAAAAAGTACAAGTACAGTAATCAAGTATGAGATTTGAACTCGGTATTGTTATTTCCACGAGCCAATAAATATGACATGATACTCAAAGCATTTCTTCGTATACATCATTGAATTTGCTATTCTACAATATTTTATTCCCAGTGATATCTTGGGTGTAACAGGAGGATATTGAGAAGAAAACGGGCTACATAACAATGTGATCAGATAGAATATTTGACGTTGATGATAACACAACCATCAATCAGCTTTCAGAAGAGCTGAATATCAAAATACCAGAGGTATATTGATGGTCACTTTAGTCCTAAGATTTGTAACTGAGATTCTTCATGCTTATATCTGCCTCCTGAGCTTTGGTTTGCTTTTCGGCTTATCTCTACTTGAAGTGAAGCTATATTTTCAAACACAGCATGGGATTTAGAGTTTGAATGGATGCTTCGAACTGCTAAGGGGAAATCTCTGCTTAAAACTGTGCTAAAACTTGCTTAGAATGGGGCTGTCTATCAAATTCAGAGGAAGAGAAATGATGTCTTGCACGATCATGTTGTTCCTCAGATTGTTCGAGTTATTAAGTGGGTTGGGTTTGAATTGAAGCTGTGTTGCAGGAAACGAATTTGTTTTTGACTGATGCAGATAAAGGTTTGTGTTCCAGATGGGGCATTGGAGAAATTTTGGATGTTTTTATAAGTTGATACGAGCAATTTTGATTTTGGGCTTTGGAGAAATTTTAGATGTTTCTTTGAGCCTGTGAATTTCGGTTTGTGGGATGTTGATGGACTTGTAAGTTGTAAGGACTTGGTACCATTGTTGTGATATTGGGTTTGTACTTGAGCTTAGTCCGTCCAGTTTACCTCAGAGGTTGAGCAATGGAAGGATTAACATGAGGATTCTAGACATGCTAATCCTCCATAGATCTTGATATTCTTTATATGGCAAAAGTGTCAAAAAAGTCCTAAACCTTTTGCATTTGTGCCAATTTAGTCATAAACATTTTTTTGATGCCAATTCAGTCCTAAACCTTTTGCATTTGTGCCAATTGAGTCATAAACCTTTTTTTGGTGCCAATTCAGTCCTAAACCTTTTGTATTAGTGTCAATTCAGTCCTAAATCTTTTGTATTTGTGCCAATTAAGTTATAAACCTTTTTTTAGTGCTACTTGAGTTCTAAACCTTTTGCATTGGTGTTAATTTAGTCCTAAACCTTTTGCATTTGTGCCAATTCAGTCCTAAACCTATTTGAGCTAAATTAATCGAAAGGACTGAATTGACATCAATACAAAAAATTTAAGACTGAATTAGAACCAATTCTTCACGACAACCGTGAAGAACAACCATGCACGGAGGCTTGCCACGATATTTGGCGCATCAAAAACGGAGGAGACTTTTTTTTTGGTCTGTTGGAGGAGACTTGACTTGCGCTTGGATTGGATGAAACGAAAAGCAGAACGACGACCACTCGAGTCCATACAATAATGCCCTCTCACTTTTACTAGAGCCACTTTCTTAGGTGGTCGTACGATTGATTAAGGTGGGGAAAATTGTCAAAAAAATATTAAATTTATTATACTTTTATTAATTCAGTTCTAAACTTTTCAATTTTATTAATTAAGTTCATCCAGCTAATTTTGATCGGAAATCGCTGATGTGGACACCGGCCGGCCTATATGACGCTGTCGTGGATAATTTTTAATAATATTTTACTATTTTTTGAATTTTTTATTTTTCCTTTCTACTCTTTTTATTTTTATTTTTAGTTTTTTTTCCTTCCCTTCTTCTCCTCCAGCCGGTCCCCAAGCCTTGGCAATCGGCCAGAGGGGAGGGCCGGCAGGGTCCCCTTTGGCCAGTGGGGGCTAGGTTTGCCCGACCTTGCCGGCCCTCCCCTTTGGCCGCGACCGGTTGGGGGAGGAAGAAGGGGATGAAAAAAAAAAAAGAAACAGAAAAGAAAAATAAAAAAAGGAAAAATAAAAAATTCCAAGAATATAATTGTCCACGTTAGCGCCTCGTAGGCCGGCCGGTGTCAATGTCAGCGATTTCCAGCCAAAATTAGCCGGATGAACTCAATTGATAATAAATTAAAATACTTAAGATTCAATTGGTAAAATTGAAAAGTTTAGGAAAATCTCATTTAATTATATGCCAACTTCTGCAGTTGAAAATGGGGCGCCATCAAATCCTCACCCTCCCGAGCAATTACGCAGACCTTTCCCACAAGGACTTTATGCCGGTCTTTGGTCTTTGGATTGTGGTGGAAGGAAGAAAGTTCCCGGAAATGACGATGAAGATTTCCTCCCCTAAGCTATGCTTCTACATTCTTCTCCTTTCATCGTTACAGATTTGGTGTTCAACATTCGTTTGCCAATTACAAAGTGGATACGTAAGGAGATTTGATTCGACAGTCATGCGGAGTTAGTAACTTAGTAATCAAGTGAATTTATGTTGCGTATATCTAGCAGTATGCAACGTCACTTCGACTTTGAATTGGACTAATAAGAGCTCAAATATGTTGGGTATAGCTGTAGTGATGCATTATAGCTATGAGATAAAGTATTGCAATTTTTTTTTATCTGGTAATACGTATTTTAAAGTTACAGCATCTTAAAATCGTGTGAGACCGTTTTTGAAAGTTGTTATAAGCTATATTATAGCTGTAAAATATTTGACAAGAACTTTATCAATCTTAAAGATATTAAAAATTCAAAGAATCGGCAAATTCAAAGTTATCACACTAGAAAAAAAAAAATTCACAAACGACTACTCTCTTCATATTGTTTGGATCATGCACCTATAGAACATCAGATATCACTTCGTGTTAATGTTTCTTTTTCTGTCCACCTCATCATCATAAAATTAAAGAATTCCTTTTTATTTTCCTTTTTTTAATGTTACTTTTTCCCTTTTATTTTTCCAGGAAAGTTCCAATTTTGATGGAAGCATTGAGCGCTTGTCTGTCCCTATGACTCGGACTAATTGGCAGAGAAGAAGCTCTCGGAATCGATCAGACAAAAGTAAACGGAATCGATTAGAATCATGGACTTAACCTGGATACTTAATTTTACGCGCTTGTGTACCTATGACTGAACTAACTTTGACAGACAATCTGATCTTCCTTAACCATGAGAAAATGAGAAATCATCCTGACTGAATCTTAAATGAGATTACTTGTATGCCGACCAACAGTGCTTTCAGAACGGGCAACACACGTTGTGAGCCCACCGACGGACCTTAGAGAAGACTTGTTTCGATGACTTCACACTTGAGAAGGGCCATATAAGCTGAAGCACTCTCCACCAACAATAAACTCACTCGCATGCTAATTTGCAAAATGGGGTGGCATCAAATCCTCGGCCTCCTCTGCTTCCTCTTTTCCTTACATTCCTCCCTTCCCTTTGCCTCGCCCCTTTGCCCGCCTGACCAGCGTGATGCCTTGCTCCGTTTCAAGAATTCCTTCGTGCTTGATGCCGTGGCGTCGGACTACTGTCATTTGCATTACCCATCTTATCCGAAGACAAACTCATGGAACAAGGGCGTGGACTGCTGCTTGTGGGGCGGCGTCACTTGCGACAATGTCACTGGTAACGTCATCCGTCTCGATCTCACTTGCAGTTGGTTTCGTGGCGCTCTTTATTCCAGTAGCTCCCTCCTCCTCCCGAAGCTTGAAGTGCTGCTGTTGCGTTCTTGCAACTTGATCAAGTTCCCCTATTTCTTAAATTCGTTAAAAGGACTAATATCTCTAGACCTCTCTTCCAATAGCATTAGTGGGGAGATCCCGGAGTGGTTTTGGGGAATTAGCCATGATACATTGGAAAAATTAGAAATTTCTCATAACCTTATGGTGGGAGGTATACAGCAATTGAACTGGAAGCGATTGTCGTCTGTTAACCTTGAGAATAACTTGTTCCAAGGACCACTCCCAATCCCTCCACCTTCTACTTCTTCCTTTTATGCCTCCAACAATGGTTTCACCGGTGAGATCCCCTCTTCAATTTGCCAGTTGAGTTCACTCAAGTATTTAGATTTGTCTAACAATAATCTTTCTGGAAATATGCCACCATGTTTTGGCAATATATCCAATCTCCTGGATCTAGATTTGAGCAGCAATAAATTACAAGGATCATTACCGCGCTCCCTAGTCAAATGTGTGAAGTTATTTTCACTAGGTCTCAGTCACAATGAGTTCAGTGATATCTTCCCACATTGGTTGGAAGTACCGCAACTATATTCACTTGATTTGCAATCCAACAAATTCCATGGTAGGATCAACCTCACTGTCTTAGGACCCTCCTTCCATGCTCTTGCATATTTATTTCTTTCCAACAATAATTTTATTGGATGGTGGCCCACAGAGGATTTCTCAAACACCTCATTGTGTGTAATAGATCTGTCCAACAACAAGTTTGGAGGGCCAATTCCACTTCCATCTCCCATCACCAAGTATTATTCCATTGCAAGTAATAATTTAGCAGGAAAGATCCCTTCTTTGATATGCAATGCCACCAAGCTCGAGATGATCGACTTGTCTAACAACAGCTTAATAGGTAGCTTGCCTTGGTGCATAACAAATTTTAGCACCCATTTGTCAGTTTTGAACTTGCGAATGAATCATCTTGAGGGCACAATTCCTCAATCATTTTCTTGGAGAAATAGCTTGGTGACTCTTGACTTGAGTCAAAATCGGTTTAAAGGCAAATTGCCCCGGTCCCTCGACAAATGTGAATATTTAGAAGTTATGGATCTCAGTGACAATCAGATAATGGATACATTCCCGGGATGGTTGGGAATACTCCCACAACTAAAAATTCTCATTTTGAGGTCCAACAATTTTGCTGGTTTTTTGGATGATCCCAGGCAAGCTGGCCTCTTTTCAAAGTTACACATTTTAGACCTCTCCAACAACAACTTTGGCGGTCCATTGCCAGCCAACTTTATTACGAACCTTAGAGCTATGACCGATGATATAATTTGGCAAGAAACATCACTTTTTATGACAGTCTTTTGAAAAGAGTTCATATAATAATTCTGTATCCGCAACCCTAAAGGGGCGAAAATTTGAGCTAATGAGGATCTTGACCGTCCTCACATTCATTGACTTGTCGTGCAACTCTTTCAAAGGTGATATCCTAGGAGATATTGGACATCTTAAGTCTCTCAGAGGGCTCAATCTTTCTCATAACCACTTTACAGGTTCCATCCCTCCGACTCTAGGGAACATGACTAATCTTGAAATGCTCGATGTATCTTCGAACAAGCTTTGTGGGGGAATTCCTGGAGCACTGGTAAATTTGTTGTTCCTTTCGTACTTAAACCTTTCGAACAACCGACTCATCGGTCGAATTCCTCAGGGCATGCAATTCGACACATTTTCAAGTGACTCGTTTAGTGGGAATCCAGGCTTATGTGGAGTTCCATTACCAAAAGAATGCTCTCCGGGATCTTCCTTGTCAACTTTCGGTTGCAAAGGGCATGAGAATTGGTTCAAACAGAAAACAGTGTGGATAGGTTATTCATCGGGAATTGTAATTGGGATTTCCATAGCATACATCGCAGTTGAAATACGAAGGCCCAAATGGCTTGCGCAAGGTGTGAGAATGCTAGAGAGAAGAGCAGCCGAGTGGATGGAGAAACCAAAACGGAAGGTCACTAAATTTCATGGAAAATGAAATTGTTTGCGGAGTGGTTTCTTTATACTACACAACGTAGATTCATCGAATAAATGTCACTAGACAAGCTTGAGATGTCATTTCCCGAGGGCTCGTTTCTATTGTCTTCTGTTCTTGTTTTTCTTGGTGCAGCTGTGTATCATATTAATTGAGAAAATGAACCATGAGATCTGTCAAGCACATCTCTTTAAAAAAAGAAGAAGAAGCAAAAGGTAGAAAAATGAAGCAAAGGCCATTAATCTCTCTATGTATCTTTTCCATCCTCCCGTATGGCGTAGTTTCTAAAAAAAATACGAATTTGAGGCTGCCACGGTTCGTGAGTCCTTCGTAATGGACCTTGCAGGTTGGTTATTACCCAAGAAGACCATCTTCGGTGCCCACGTTTTTTTTTCCAATTCAATCGTATAGGTAAGTTTGTACAATTAATGACCTGCTTGGATGATAATGCTCTCCGTTGCAATTACAAAATGACGTTAGCGACTTACGACCGTCAATTTAAGAATAATTTATTAAGTTTTTTTTTTCTCTTTTTATAAATGTACTATTCATAACTAAATCTTAGCGGTGTAAATAGTAAATTAACAGTCGAATAGGAATTTATAATAGTAAAATAATTATTTTGTTTGTAAGTTACAACCATTAACAGACACTGCTAGTTAAATATACAGGTACTTTGTACTCTTACCAATGGAAAAATGTGCTCATCTACAATAAAAAAACTATTCTTCGTAAACTACTGGGGTAGTTTAACTTGGTAAATTGATTAATTCCTTAGTATGTTATTGACGAATAAACATTGGTACTTGTAAACCGCAAAAATAGTAATAATCCACTACGAATTTATAGCAATGAAATGATTATTTTGTTCACGAAGTGATAGTTGTCAATCGATGCTACTAGTAAAGTATGTAAGCAATTTGTAGCCTACTAAGAAAAAACACGCTCGCCGGTAAAAACAAACGACAGTTCGTAATCTCCAAGGTATTTCAACCTGGTTAATCGATTATTTTGTTAGTGGATTACTGACAGATGAACATTGGTACTCATAAAATCAAAATGATGTTAATAATTTACTAGAAATTTATAGCGGTAAAGTAGATATTTTGTCCGTAAGTTGAAACCGTTGGTCGATACTCACAGCAAAGTATCTAAGCAATTCGTAATCTACTAACTAACGAAGGGGGCAACCTCTAGAATAAAAAAAAAAGATGGTGATATACTAATGGGTTAGATGATGGTAAACTCGTTATTTGATTGGTATTTTGGTTGGTTGAAAAAATAAGTGTTGACACCTAAATTTTAGCGACCATTTAGTCGTAATTTGTATAGAAAATTAGGGATTAAATTTTTAACCCCTAAACAAAAATATTTAGATTGCATAAACATATAGTTTAAATTCATTTTAAATTAATTGCATTTTGCATCGGACCGGCGGTGACGAACGAGCTTAAATTTCATCGAATGGGACTCGGCTCGCTTGGAATGCAAGGGCCGGGAGTTACAAGTCAAACGGGCTCGGTTGTTTTAATTTGAGCTTAATTCAGCCCATTATCCTTAATTAATTCAGCCCATTTAAATTAAATTAAAATCTAAGCCCAAGCCTAAGCCCATTAGGACTAGAGAGCCCATCTGATTGACCTAGATTAGTGTTATATATACATCATTAGGTCAGGATTTTAGGGGGGCTCTCACAATTTTCAGAACACGATTTTTGAGAGACACACGTACGTGAGGTTAGAGAGAGAAGAGGTCTCTCGGCCAAACATCTTCTGGCCGAGACTCCTTCTTCGGCGCCACCCCTTGCCAGCTGACTGCCGCTCCTTCCACGACGGCAAGTTGTTCTGATCTGCCCCTGCGTGCTCGACACTGACCTTGACGACGTTTCTGTTCACCGTTCGACGACGAAGCAGCCTTGCCGAGCCTTACTGACGAACAGCCAGCCACCTCGGGCTCGAACATTTGCACCGGCGAATCAGCGCTCACGGTCACTTACAACACCAAATATCACGGAGTTTTTCTTAAGTGGTGTTTGCAGGTTTTCCGGCAACGTTCCTTCATGGCAGTCCCATGCTACGCCTCCCATCTTGGTGCTACATCCTTGCAGCTACTCTGGTGCTTGATCGAACAATCCCAGTGGACTTCCGCCTGACGCAATTGAAGTCCCAGCCTTGTCAAAGCAGCCACTTGTCAACTCCAGCAGCTTCCCAGACGTCATTCTTCCATTATCAGTAACACTCGGTGGAGATTCTGATCAACGACCTAACTCCTACAAGCCTCTCCATCCAGCTGTCGCTGTTCTGCTCCTTTAGGTGTCCCTCAAGCAAAGCCACAGCACCAGAAAGCTTCACGCCAAGGCTGAGCATCGCCTCATCATCCCACCGTCCTCGCCGTCGAGTATCACTGTCAGCCAATTCCCGTGATTCGCGAGCACCACCGCAAATTGAGCCGGAAACCGCTGCGAGCTGAGTCTGCGCCGCTGTCACCACTCGCAGTCGGCCGTCCTGTGATCCGCGAACCCGATCCGGCATCAAGCTCGAATTTGGAAGTTATCCGTAAATTAGGTAAGAAACTTTATCCGATATCGTTTCAAATATTTAAATTCCTAATTCGAGTGATTTTATTGTCTTTTGTTGGTTAGTAGATATATTTGAATGATGCATGGCATATTCGCAAGATTCCAAAAAATACACTAAGTTAGGAAATTCCTAACTTAACAACGTGTCGGGACGACTATCCGATCTCAACCATGAGACACGATACTCGTTGGCACGGAAAATCTTTATCCTGTCCATAACTATTTGGATACGATAGTAGATTTTATTTTGTTCCCAAATTCAAACGAATAGCCTTCCATCAATATCCATAACCACATGGATATGATCGCCGGTTTATATCGTTTCCCTAATTCAAAGATAATAAAACAAATCTTGCGGATCGCGTGGATTGGTTTTGATTGTGGTGGTCATCTATCTGTTTGATTTATTTCCTTTAAAAAGAAAATTCCAAAAAAGATTAGTTAGGATTTGAATTGATTTTATTAGAAGATAATGATGCATGTTTAGGATAGGTTTAGAATAACTTTCTTTGAATAAATCAATAGGATAACTTTTTAATTTAAATTAGGAATTAGAGTAATTTATTTCCTAGTTTAATTTAGATATTATCCTGATCTCGATGGTTCATTTTAGGGTAATTCTTGATTTCGAATTTTCATAAAAATACCAAAAAGAAGTCACTTTAGGATAGATTAAATTATCCTTTTTTAGAATAGATTGCATGTTAATTTAGGCATTTTCTTAATTCCGAAATTCATTCAAAAATAAATCATTTGTCCGTCATTAGAATTAGGTCACGTTGTCGCATGACATATAGTTTGCATGTTAGGCTGCATTAATCGCATGTTAATTTTTGCACGTCATTACACATAGGTTAGCTTTTATTTAAATAAGTGAAAATCCTAAAAAAATATTGAGTGAACTGCTTGTTAATTAGAAATCATATTAGGATTATTGATGTGATTTTCTAGCTAACAATGCAGATGCTTACATTGCTTCGAGATAAGTAATTCTCCCAATCTTGCAATTTATTTAATGTTTTGATTATTGGGTGTTACTTTGGTGGTTTGCGCACTCGCATGATCACCTTACATGCTAGTGACTAAGTTAAAATGGATCCAGACTGCATGCATAAACATTTTTTGAAAAGAAAAGGTACCGAAAGGGCGTTAGACTAGATCTAGCGTAACCAAGTCCCCGAGCTTAGAATCTCTGGTTCGTAGGAATAAAACATATCTCCCTATGTTTTATTTAGGTTTCTAATCGACCTACCATAAATAGATTAGTGGCGACTCCAAGCATGAAAACTTTTGCATGTTAAAAACTTAAACCCTAAGTTGCGAATTGGTAGGTTTGGGAGGGCCCGAGTTAGGCTTAGTCTTAATAATCCATTAGCCTGAGAGAAATTTTAGGTCGCGACAATAAGTTATCGGTCAGGTTTTACTTACCAAAGGTTTTTCAAATATATTATCAATTATTCAAATTAACCAGGCGCCGAAAAAAAAAATTCCATTTTCGGCTAATCGGAATTTTAGAAATCCGCTGGCGGGTGCGGATGTAGTGCCAAGTTCATCCAAATAGTAGTCGAGACTAACTGGAAGAACTGCTTGGATTGCTGCTCGTGGGACGGCGTCGCCCGTGATGACATAACGGATAATGTGATCGGCTTCGATCTTGCACTCGGCTGTCTTCAAGGCACCTTCCATTCCGACAGCTCGCTCTTCACACTTTGCCGGCTTCAAGGCCTCAACCTTGCTGTTAACAATTTCCGTGCCTCACCCACTTTGCTTGAACTAAGTGCGTTTACTGAATTGAGGCACCTCAATCTCTCTTGTTCCAATTTTTCAAGTCTAGTTTCTATTGAAGTTTCTTACTTTTCTAAACCTGTTTTACTTGATCTCTTTTTAAACTTTAATGGGGGTACGTATGTGACACGCGGACTTAAGATTGAAAATACTGGTTTCAAAATGCTTGCTCAAAATTTGACAGAGTTGAGGGAACTTAAACTCGATCTAGTAGAAATGTCTGCTGTTTCGCCTAGTTCCGTCGTGATTCATCATCTGCCCTGACGTCTTTCAGTGCGTCTATTTGCAATTTACAAGGGGAACTTCCGCACGACATTTTCCACTTGACAGACCTCCTTGATTGCAATTTGAAATTCAATGATATCGCGGTTTCTTTTCAGAAGTCTAACCGGAGCAAGTCTCTTGAATCCTAAACCCTCTTGTATACAAGCAACTCCATCAAAATATCCCATTCAACCGGAGAGTTGAAGAATTTAAAAACTCTGTATCTCAGTTAGTGCATATTGATAGGATCAATTCCCTTATTGCTTGTGAACTTAATAAAATTAACCAGGTTGGACCTTTCAGGCAATGAAGTCATTCCTTGGAATGCTTGAACGATTCCTAATCTAGACCTTTCTTCATCTATTTACTGGTGTTTTGGACTTCAGAATCGCTTCGGCACTGAAAAATCTCCTTAGGCTCCCAATAGAGTTAAGTCTAGCTCACGACAATGTGCAT